TACCACGGTGATAGTCCAAGGTAGAATCAATAAAGAAGAACTCGAATACGTATATGGAATAACACAGATATATTACAAATGGGAATATATACAGAGAAGTAGAAAATGTTAGTACGAACAATCAGGTTTAGTAGGGAGAACAATGTAGTTTCGACCAGTATCGCTATTCCAATGTCTTGCAGTAATTGGCTGAACGCGACTCTGTTTTGGACTGCCTGTGACTCGACTGACTGACTTCAAATATGCTCGCTCTGACTGACTGGACAGACTTCCTGACGGATTTTCACCCAGACTTCAGACTGAACTCCCTGCTTCCTCTTGAGGCGCAGTTTTTATTACTTCCATGGAATAGTCCATTGTATTATTATGGGTCCCATAACACATAACATACCGCTCTCACCCTTATATATATATATATATATATATATATATATATGCCTGTGTGTCTCGCCAGAACACCCTCCCCAGTTATATGTTATATATATATAATGTTATATATATATATATATATACTTATAACATATATACACTATCCACACACATATATATATATACACACACACATATATATATATATATATATATATATATACCGCACACACACACACACACACAATTGGGGCACACATATATATATATATATATATATATATATATATATGAAACAAAATTGTTAATGACTAATAGAATATCCAAAACCGGTTGATATAGATTTTATCTGTTTTAACCATTGTTTATGTACGGAAATTTAATGCAATAAAAATTAAAGATTCATTATACATATATATTCGACTGTATTTTAACTGTATTCCCGAATAAAAATTTTAGTGACACCGTGAAAAAAAACCTGATGAAATCCTCTAAAAAAAAAGGATTCTTCCCATTTTTTGACGTTGAAACAAAATGTACAATTTGTAGTGAATATGCATGTTATAATGTAATATACATATATATATATATATATATATATATATATATATATATATATATATATATATCGAAATTTAATGAGAAAAAAAAGAATATAAATACAAAAAGTTCATAGACATTCATTTAAAAGAGGGCTCAATACCAATAATAGAATCTTCACTAATAGTGAAAGACATTTCTTTCTTTTATAAAGATGTTACATACAGAGAAACAAGTAGTCATATGGTCCGGTTACTTTAATTCTCCTTATGCAACTCGAATACGTTTATGGAATAATACATATATATATATATATATATATATATATATATATATATGTGAACGAAAAAAGGTTTTTTTAGTTTCGTATTCATTCATTTCTTGTATAAATAAAATACACTCTGTTTTGGACTGCCTCTTTTCGTGGATCAGTTTTAATACTTTTTATTTTAAGAGAATTCATTCGGATTATATACCCACGTATGGATTTTATTTTTATATATACTATATATATATATATATATATACGTATGAGGACCTGAAAACTTAGGATGGTTTATGTGAGACAAAACTTAGAAACACTTAATTAAAAATATCATAATGTTAGACAATTTAAACAAATTAAATTTAGACAAATTAAAGCAAATATATATATATATATATATATATATATATATATATATATATATATATAGATATATATATATATTTTACGTTTTAGATATATATTTTGTAGTGCAACTTAAATTTTGCTGATTTTTCAAGTCGTTAAACATATATAGTAATATGAGGCTCAATTGCCATATGTGCCTGACGACTTTTGAAACCATGAAAAATTTAAGTTGCACTACAAATGTAGGTTTATGCGTATTTATTAATATATACTTCACAACTTTGTTCAATTAATTGAATACTGTTTTGTTTGCACCATTAAATTATATAAATATTTGTTTGCTTGTCTGCGTATGCACGCTATCGTATGCATATACAATTGCTAATATAATTTTAGTTTATATTCACACTTATATCTATATCGATATAGATATAACTATATACATATAGACATTTAGCCATCTGAAACCCTTTTTAAAGTGCGTTTGCTTCAGCATACTCGAAAAAATCCTGGACATATTATAACATTTT